ATAAGAAGCAAGGATGGTCAAACTTTGTCTCATATTTTGGGTATGTCGATAGAGGGAATCGGTCCTTAGAGAAAGAATTATGGTTGGAAAAGTAGAGAGTTAGAGGAGGGAAAAGGGAAAGACCCTCAAAAATATGATTGGCACAGTGGCTACAACAATGGGCTCAAACATCATGAGACTGGTGCAGAAAGAGTTTGTTGTAGAATCACTCATTGTAGTGATCTCATCAGATCACTAAGAACTAGAATCAACTCCATGTTCCTTCACAATATCAGTAGTCCAGGAAAAGGTAGTAGTAGTCCCCAATAAGGAACTGATTATAGGTAGAAAGAGTTCTTCATTGAAAGAGATTAAAATGAATAATTGTAGGATCTGTTTATGTAAACTATTGTTATTGCTAGGTGCTGTTGAGTCGAGTACAACTTATAGCGACTTTATTAATAAAAGATCTGAACCCTGCTCTATCCTGTGCCATCTTCACACTTCCTGACACACAGGAGCCCATCAAGAAATCAGTGTCAATCCATCTGGTTGAGGATCTTCCTCTTCTTCCCTCTCCAAGGAATAGTTTCTCTTAGCAATATGCCCAAAGTATGTGAGGTGAAGCTTCATCTTTCTTACCTCTAAAGTGTACTCTGGCTGCACCCTCTCCAAGACATATCTGTTTGTTCTCTTGGCTGGCCATGAGATAGTCAGTGCTCTTCTCCACCACCACAGTTCAGAGGCATAAATTATTTTTCTGTGGTCTTTATTCATTATCCTGCTCTCAGATGCATAGGAAGTGATCAGAAAGGCTGTGATCTGAATAAGACACACCTGAGTCCTCAAATTTTCATCATTACTCCTCAGTAATTTGGAGAGGTCCCTAACTGCAGATTTTCCCAGTGCAATGCATCTCCTTATTTTCTGACTGCTGGTTAATTGGGGATCCAAGATGAAGCTGTTGACAGTTTCAATTGCCTCTCCATCCATCATGATGTTGCCTATTGGTCCAGTATTAAAAATAATAATTTTCTTGACATTGAGATGTAATCCAAACAAAAGGCTGCATTTCTTGATCTTCTGCAACAAGTGTTTCAAGTCCTCTTCACTTTCATCAAGCAAGGTAGTGTCAACTGCATAACGCAGGTTATTGAGAGTCTCTCTCCAATCCTGATGCCAGACACTCCTCTTCACAGAGCCCAGCTTCTCAGATAACTTGCTCAGCATACAGATTGAATAGAATGGAGAGAGATTACAACCCTGACACAATCCCTTCTCAATTTTAAATCATGTAGTGTTTCTCTGCACTGTTTGCACAACAGCCTCCTGGTCAAGGTATAGGCTTCACATTAGCACAATTAAGTGCTCTGGGACCCCATTCTTCTCAATGTCAGTCACAACTTGTTACAATTGATGCAGTCAAATGACTTTGCATAGTCAATAAAACACAAATAGATATTCTTCTGGTGATTTTTAATTTCAGCCAGGATCCATCTGACATCAGCAATGATATCCCTGGTGCCATGGCCTCTTCTAAATTCTGATTGAACTTCTGGCTGTTCTCTATCTTTGTACTGTTCTAGCCATTTAAAAATGATCTTCAGCAGTATTTTGCTTGCATGTGACATTAGTGATATTGTTCAATAGTTTCCACATTCAGCTGGATCACTGTTCTTGGGAATGGGAACAAATATTGACCTCTTCTACTCTGTTGGCCAGACAACTGTCCTCCAAATTTCCTGGCATAGACTTGTGAGTTCATCCAAAACTGCATGTGCACATTCAAACAAGTCAACTAGTATCCCATCAATTTGCTGTGATAGTGAAAGCTGTGCCACTGGTGTGTCAATTGCCATAAGGGTTACCCATGATGGACAGGCTTTGGTGGAGCTCCCAGATTAAGACAGACTTGGAGCAGGATGGGCTATCTACATTCTAAATAACAGGTCTTTGAAAACCCTAAGAACACTAGAGGAATGCAGAGAGTTACACTACTATAATGAGAGAGCCCAGATTGGAAGTTGAAATAAGGAAGAACAATAAAAACATAATTTAATAATTGGAATATGGAATGCAAAACTGGAAATTGTAAAAAATTAAATGGAATGCATGAACATGAACATACTAACCATTAGTGAGATGACATTGAACAGCTTTGGCCACTTTGAATCAGATAATTGTATGGTATACTATGCAGGGAATGAAAAATAGAAGAAGAATGGTGTTGCATTCATAGTCAAAAAGTCAATTTCAAGTTCTATCCAGAAATACAATGTGGTGAGTGATCAAATATCCATATACATACAAAGATGACCTGTTAACACAACTATTATTCAAATATATGCTCTATACTCCTATATCTGGAGCCAGAGAGGAAGAAATTGAGAATTTTTATCAAATCTTACAGTCCAGAATTGACTGAACATGCAATCAAGATGCATTAATGATAATTGGTGGCTGGAATTAAAAAGTTAGAAACAGTGAAGAAGGAATAGTAGTTGGAGAACATGGGCTTGGTGATTGAAATGAGGCAGGAAATAGAATAATTAAATTTTGTATTTACAATTATTTGTTCATTGTATATACCTTTTTAAAAAGACACAAACTATGGATCTTACCTCATGGATTGCATAGGAATCAGGTTAACTACATTTGTGGAAGAAATCATTGGAAAAGCTCAGTATCATCTGTCAAAACTAGGCCAGGGGTGGACTGAGGGTCAGATCATCAATTAGTCATATGCAAGTTCAAATTAAGTCCAAAGAAAATAAAAAGAAATCCACAGGAATCAAGATATGATATTGAATTAAGTCCATCTTAATTTTAAGATCATCTTGGGAATAGATTTGAGGCATTAAGACCAATAATTGAAGACCAGATTAGTTGTAGGATGATATCAAAGATGTCATCCAGGAAGAAAGCAAAAGGTCATTACAAAAAAAGAGGAGCAAGGGGAAAAAAAAGGATGTCAGAGGAGACTCTAAAAATTGCACCGCAGTGTCAAGAAGCCAAAACAAAAGGAAAATATGTTGAAGTAAAAGAGGTGAACAGAAGATTTTAAAGGGCAGCTCAGGAGGACAAAACAAGCTATTATGATAGTGGAATATGCAGACTGCTGGAATTGGAGAATAAAAAGGAAGAACTCGCTCTGCATTTCTCAAGCTGAAAGAGCTGAAAAACACATTTAAGCCTGTGTCACAATATTGAAAAATGCTATGGGCAATGTATTGAATGACCCAAAAACACCAAAAGAAGATAGAGGAAATACAAAGAATCACTGTATCAGAAAGAACTGATTGACACTAAAAAATTTCAGGAAATACCATATGAACAGGAGCCAATGGTAATGAAGGAGAAAGTAGAAGCTGCTTTGAAGACATTGGCAAAAAATAAAGCCCCAGGAATCTATGGGAATTAAATGTATACTGATATGTTATTTTATTATGTGCCATTGATTTGAAACCAACTCATAGCTGACCCTCCAGTGAGTTTTCAGAGGTAGTCAATTACATGGGAGGAGACTGTTCATCTTCTTCTATGAAGCAGCTAGTGTCTGGTGAATTTGCACTTTCCCCTTTTGGGGTTGGCAGCACAACACCTTTCCCATTAGGTCACCAGGACTCCCAGGTAGAGAAGAGTTGTGTCTTTTCTGAAGTATTCTAGTTGGTGATGTAGTGAGTAGAGGTCATATTTACCATGCTATAGAATAGAGAAAGAAGGGAAAGTCTTGAGGGGTGGGAATAAGTTGGATTTTAGGTATGTTGAGATAGAGATGCCTTAAGACACTGGGATAGTGATATTTAGTACTGCAGTTAGAAAGGAATTCAGGAGAAAGATCAGAGGCTAGAGATAGAGACATCAACAACCTCTTTGCAAAGGGTGTAGAATATTTATTTTATCATTATCAAAGGAGGCACGTAACAAAAACAACAACATAAAAACTTATTTTATAAACTATTGGCTAGAAACTTGGAAACACTAGTGATTTTAGGGGACATTTCTTTTTTAAAAATTTTTACTTTATATTGGTTTGCTTGCAAAGTACATATACATTGTGTTTCACACTATCATTCACACTGTATTTCATACAATCATTCTTGGGGGCCATTTCTTATGCTTATTAAGTAAATAATAATTGACAGGTGTATAATAGTACATTACCAGATTAATTTTCTTAAAGAGATTACATAAAGAAATAGGTGCACAATATTTTAGTAATTATGATCACCTTTCCCACTAGGGACAGGTGGGAACATTTATAAATTAAAAGGTGTGATTTTCCCAGGATCATCGGATACTTAGTCATTGCTGAGAAGGATCACATGGTAACCAGCAGACAATTGTTGAGTCTTAGCACATAAACCCACACCAGCTGAAGACATGAGAAATATAGTCGGACATTTATAAAAGAGACATTTTCTGGGGGAAAATAGCATTGGTACATTAGTCACGAGCCTGATGGATAGAATGAGGTCAAAGCACATGACACAGCAACAAAGGGAAGAGGAAGGAGGTGGAGAGTGGAGAGTGGAGAACGGGGGACTTATGACCTGGGTAAGCCCATAATTATGTAAACAAGGAATGTCCTCAGAGCTCCACTTACGTATGAACAGGCTCAACCAGTTGTTAATGAACATTTCAGTTTAAAAATTATTGGACTCCTTAACAGCTCATTGTCTTGTGTACTTTTGGCTCTTCAAAGCAAATATAAACACATTTCCTAATTGTCCGTGTTGTTAGTGGAAACGTTTCTATCTCTTCCAAGGCTTAAATCATGTCAAGACCTGGCATCATGCAATTTGTCCCATTGTTTCCATGTGTCAGAAACCCCAACTGCCTTTGAGGTTCTTCTGTTCCCACATGTGTCAGAGCAGAGCTGTGCTCAGTGGCTGACTGAAGGAGCTAAGTCTTTCTTTTGAAGTGCCTCTTGGTCAGTGCTTTGAGCTGGTTCATTCCAGTTTGAACCTCTGCTGAGAAGTTGCATTTTTACCACAGGGGACTCTGTTGGAGGGGGTGGAATGGAGGTGGGGGGTGTGGCTAAAGGTATGCAGTTGAAAGCCACCAGTGGCTTTTCAGCAGTCTCCTCCTGTGAGAGTTACTGCCTCCGAAAACCCGCGAGAGCGTATGCCATGGGTCGATTCTGACTCTATGGTGCACAATAACAACAATTACATATCTCTTGTAGAGTGCAACCAGGATGCTCCTTAGGAACAATTCTGGATGGGGAAGCTTAGACTCATATGCTCTGGCTATATCAGTAGGAGGGGCCAGTTAGTGGAGGAGGGGCCGAGAGCCAATGAGATGAATTGTCACTGTGACTTGACAAATGGGCTCAAGTGAGATAGATAGGAAGAGGATGGCACGGATAGGAGAAGGGTCACATCTCGCTTTCATAAAGTCACTGAGTCGTAGTCAACTTGAAGGCATCTAACAATCACGACATTTATATATATACATACACACATACATATATATACATATATACACATATATATGCCCACATATACATATATATACATATATCTCTAAGAATTACCTGAGAGTCTTGTTAAAACATAAATTCTGAATAGAAAAACAACAACAACAGCAAAAATAGCCAACCACTAATTGAGATACTTAGGAGTGAACCTAACTAGAGATACAAAAGACCTATACAAAGAAAACTACAAAAAAAAAATAAACAAAAAACATAAATTCTGATTCCATATACCAAATGTAGAAATGCAAATTGTTGGCAGACCTGAATGAACAAGCAGGAAGCCCTGCTCGTAGCCAGCTTGATTCTCCAACCATTCATTTACCATTAACTCTTTCATCACCCGGGGACTACTCTAGCATGGCCCAGGTTCTTTTCTTCTCTCACCCACCTGCTTCCCTACCTAGACCCAGAGACCCAGGTGCATGTTAACTAATAGTCTGGTAGGTTCGGTGTGATTTGCACACCACAGTAAACTTTCCATTTATAGCTTTATGTTTAAATCGTCCTTTAAGAAAGCACCAGTGTGAAAACAAAAGCACTGATATTTTTTTACTATTAGGCACTTTTTATAGAAAGAAGAGGAAATAAGACAAGAGTCTAAAAGCTTTATTATTAGCTTTCTGCTAAACTGAAAGAACAGCACTTAACATAACCACACCAAACCTCGCACGCAAACCTAGCTCATTTTCCCAACACAAACTGCCCATTTTTAAGTAATATCTTCCACCCTAACTCAACTTTGTTGGCTTTATTAGTTATCTAAAACTACATCATCTTCTAGTCCAGGCTCCAATCACCCTAAAAGAAGAGAAGTGCTCTCAAGGAAAGAAGTTTCATAACCTTTCTCCTTTTCATTTTATTTTGAATCTCTCCTATTTTGGAGTGGGCTATTAAACATTTTTTTTTGCATATAATAATTCACATACACTATATTTTATAGAATCTCTGTTGATCTATGCCTATCCTGTCTTTTGAAGTTCCATTGAATCCTTCCTATTCTTTCACCCTCTTTCACCCATTAATGGCTGCTATCTTAGTGAGTTTCCTTTCTTCCCTTTTACTCTCCTGTCTTCTCTCCTTCCCCTTCCACTTTTGAACATTATACAAACCTTTCTCAGTTATCCTATTTTCATAATAATAATCTTATGTAGTATTTGTCTTTATGTAAGTTATTGTTGAGTAAGAGCTGAGTGAAATATCTGTGTTATATAAAGACACGAGGAAAGAGAGCTCTAGTGGCCTAGTGGCAAGAAGCTGTGCTGCAATCCCAAAGGTATGCGGTTCGGATTCACCAGATGCTCCGCTGCAGAAGGAGGGAGGGACAATCTCCTCCTGTGCCAGTGGATCTGATTCCACAGTATGAAACAATGTAAAAAAAGAAAAAAAAGTCGTGAGGGACCAGTCCATGGAGAAGGACCACATGCTTGGAAGGATGAAGGGACAGTACAGGAGAAGACCATGGATGAGATGGGTTAACATAGTGACTGCGGCACTGGGGGTGGGTGTGTCAGGGACAGTGAGATTGACTCAGGATAGAGCAGGGTTCAGGGCTGTTGAGCATAGGGTCACTGTGAGTCCTAGCAGACTTGACAACATATAACAACAATGCTCTCTAGTCTCTCCCAAGTTATGATAGTATTTTATAAAATTATTGCTCCTTAGTGCTGCCTAGTATTTTATTGTTTGAATGTATGTACCACAATTCCTCAATTTATTCGTTTGTTGATGGGCATTTGGGCTGCTTCTCTTTCCTTGCTGTTGTGAGTAATGCTGTTACAAACATGGGTGTGCATATCTCCATTCATTTCTCAGTTCTGATTTCATTAGGATATATTATTCCTAGCAGTGGAATAACTTGGTCATAATGGATTTCCTTTTTTAGGAAATGCCAAACTGCTTCCCTCCCACAGCAGTAGTACCATTTTACAGTCCCACCAGTAGGGCATGAGAGTTGCAATCTCTCTACCTCTTCAATATTTATTGCTTTCTCTACCATTAAACTTTGCTACTGCTACTGGGGTAAGATGGTGTCTCACTGTGGTTTTGAATATCTTATATTTCCCCCCTCTCCGCAATGCTGCACAGCTCTCTAGATTACAGAAGAAATTTATTGTTGGAAATTTTCTGTAAATGTACAGATTTTCTTCTTCTGATACAAACTTGTTGCTAATACAACTTTATTAGATATTCTTTAACACACAAATGAAAAGAAGACAGGCAATTTTCCATAGTTAAACAAAGGGGAGAAGGAGGAATGGGGTATCTGCACTTGTTGTTGTTGTTGTTGTTATGTGCCGTCGAGTCG